AATCCGCGCAACCTCCACCAGGTGTGTAGAGATTGAAAGACTAGGCTTTGCAGTAGCAGTAGCAGCAGAAGCACCAATCACCAATGGGGAAAATGCCCAGAACGATGTGCGTTTGCTTTGCTGTGCTATGTACAGGTGTGTTGCAGCCAGCGAAGGGATGGTGGTAGGAGCCTTGGGTGGCGACTCGTCCAACAGGCGAGGCGAGGCGAGGCGAGGCGAGGCGAGGGCCTGCATGTGCTTCAAGCTGGCCGGCCACACACTCTCCTGAACTCTTGTCCTTCCTGCCCACAACTTGCGCAGAAGAAAAAGCCAAAGTGGGCTGAGCTATAGGTAGAGCAGGCTGGCGGTTGACCCCCACCACACAAGCATATGGAAGAAGATCGAAAACCAAAAAAGAAAAAAGTCTTAAAAAAAATTGTCTCGGACGCGGAGTTGGTGTGACAAAGCTGACGGAGACGAGGCCCGGGGGGGTGGGAAGCGGAAGGGACGGCACACACATGTGGGCGCCACGTCAGGCCATGAAGAAGGCGCCGGCGCCGAGCCCTGGGAAACGGAGCTGCCTGGAAAGCGCTCGAGTTGGGAGAACGCGCGGCGCCCGCTTCTCGAGATCTAGCTCAGGCAGGGTTCTCTTTCCGCGAGGGTCCAATCAACCAAGCAACCAACGTGAGGGGCAAGCAAGAATCAAGAAGGGGGCGCTCGACCGCTACGCTACGTGTCAGCTAGATCACCACCACCCCCCGCCCCCTCCCATTCTTAAATTTTAATTGCTCTGACACCTCTCGAGGGAGGATAGCAGTGTGAAAGTTTTGGGAGCAAGCAATTAAGCAAGCCTTTCCCGTCCGCGTCGTAGGATCAAGCTGCTGCACCGGAGTTCGCTGCCGCCCGCGTTCGTACATCGCATCAGCCAGCTAGCTAGCTAGCTGCATTGAATAATCGTAAATTGTGGAGGTCCTCCTGCTCAGCTACTCATCAGCCTGGCCCCCGCAGACCAGGGTCCCGGTGCCGGTGCTGGTGCTGGTGCCGGTGCTGCGACAGTCAAGTGCTCGCGCTCGCTCACGGTGATCGAGCTGACATGACATATGCTGCAAGGCAAACGCGCGCGGGGACTCTTCATGCAGCAGCAGCGGCATATGCACAGCAAGCCAGCCAGTCAGCCGCACACAGCAGCATGTACCACATGCATGCATGCATGCATGCATGCATATACCGTACACGCGCGCGCGCGCCGAGCGATCACCGCTTCTGCCGGCCGGTGTCGCACTCGCATCTACTGTAGCTGACGGGTCTGACTCCGGCACGGGGATACTTTGTCTGAGGCGTGCATATACAGTACAGCATCATCTTTGCTGATGCGCGCGCGCAAACGCAGTCACAAGTCGCGAGTGCGGAGGGAGGGAGGGAGGCACTACCGTCACGACGAGTTCCACGGTCGCCTAGCTTCCTTGCATGCTTGGCTCTACCGCACCTCATCGCAGTCTTTTCTCCGATCTCGATGGACCAATCCGCGGTGTCGTTGAGTCGTAAGCTTCTCTATTCTCCACAATTGCCAGCTAGCTACAGCTACGCTTCGTATTGTCGAAGCCCAAAAGACAAGGTTGCCGCGGCCGCATGACCCACTGCAGGCTTGCTTCCTTGCTTGCTTTACAGTGTGAGTATGGCGGGGCATCAGCAGCGCGCGCAATCTGCGGCAAGCCGAGACCTTTTTGCTATGTATGCCGCGCCTGCGCCACGTCCGGTGCTCTCGCCGCATCTCACGCGCATGCTGATGGGCGCACGACCAGGAGTCTAGCTGATGGACTTTGTGCTGTCGTGTCGGCCCACTCTGACTGTCTCCGCCAAGCAATGCGAATGCGAAAGCTGTGCGCAATGTGAATCCATCCAGACAGTCGTGGAGGTCACGATCGAGTAGACGCGCCGGCGCTCGTCGTTTGCCCCCCCCCCCATCTCCGACACGACTCCGCACTCGTGACTTTCATTAAAGCGCTACACCAAGCCACAGACGCGCCTCATATTCGGCGACCCTGACTTTCAAATAGGAGACGTCATATCGAGCCACTCCCCCGTGACCGTCCGGTGTTGGCGGCGCGGCGCGGGAGAGAATTTAGCCCTGCCGCTTGCAAAATCAACACGCGTCCTGCATGGTCGTCGCGATCAAGCTTGCGCAACCCGCAACCGCGTGTCCCATCTGCAGGCCACCGAATCGTGTGTCCCAACGTGTCCACTGCAACACTCACAGTTGCGTTGGCATTCAATCGATTCATCGACGTAGCCAAAGGTCATGGTCATGCATACAACGATGCTGTTTGTTCTCTTCGCGCTGCGATTACAAATTACATTGTGATTGCGGTGCCGGTACAGCGAGGCTTCTTCGTGGTTACTTGGCTTGCAAATTCTACCCTGCCCCCCCCC